CAGGGTCCAGGATCCCCACCCATCAGGGTCCAGGATCCCCACCCATCAGGGTCCAGGATCCCCACCCATCAGGGTCCAGGATCCCCACCCATCAGGGTCCAGGATCCCCACCCATCAGCGTCCAGGATCCCCACCCATCAGGGTCCAGGATCCCCACCCATCAGGGTCCAGGATCCCCACCCATCAGGGTCCAGGATCCCCACCCATCAGGGTCCAGGATCCCCACCCATCAGGGTCCAAGATCCCCACCCATCAGGGTCCAGGATCCCCACCCATTAGGGTCCAGGATCCCCACCCATCAGGGTCCAGGATCCCCACCCATCAGGGTTCCAGGATCCCCACCCATCAGGGTCCAAGATCCCCACCCATCAGGGTCCAGGATCCCCACCCATCAGGGTCCAGGATCCCCACCCATCAGGGTCCAGGATCCCCACCCATCAGGGTCCAGGATCCCCACCCATCAGGGTCCAGGATCCCCACCCATCAGGGTCCAGGATCCCCACCCATCAGGGTCCAGGATCCCACCCATCAGCGTCCAGGATCCCCACCCATCAGGGTCCAGGATCCCCACCCATCAGGGTCCAGGATCCCCACCCATCAGGGTCCAAGATACCCACCCATCAGGGTCCAGGATCCCCACCCATCACGGTCCAGGATCCCCACCCATCAGGGTCCAGGATCCCCACACATCAGGGTCCAAGATACCCACCCATCAGGGTCCAGGATCCCCACCCATCAGGGTCCAGGATCCCCAACCATCAGGGTCCAGGATCCCCACCCATCAGGGTCCAGGATCCCACCATCAGGGTCCAGGATCCTCACCCATCAGGGTCCAGGATCCCCACCCATCAGGGTCCAGGATTCCCACCCATCAGGGTCCAGGATCCCCTCCCATCAGGGTCCAGGATCCCCACCCATCAGGGTCCAGGATCCCCACCCATCAGGGTCCAGGATCCCCACCCATCAGGGTCCAGGATCCCCACCCATCAGGGTCCAGGATCCTCACCCATCAGGGTCCAGGATCCCCACCCATCAGGGTCCAGGATTCCCACCCATCAGGGTCCAGGATCCCCTCCCATCAGGGTCCAGGATCCCCACCCATCAGGGTCCAGGATCCCCACCCATCAGGGTCCAGGATCCCCACCCATCAGGGTCCAGGATCCCCACCCATCAGGGTCCAGGATTCTCACCCATCAGGGTCCAGGATCCCCACCCATCAGGGTCCAGATCCCCACCCATCAGGGTCCAGGATCCCCACCCATCAGGGTCCAGGATCCCCACCCATCAGGGTCCAGGATCCCCACCCATCAGGGTCCAGGATCCCCACCCATCAGGGTCCAAGATCCCCACCCATCAGGGTCCAGGATCCCCACCCATCAGGGTCCAAGATCCCCACCCATCAGGGTCCAGGATCCCCACCAATCAGGGTCCAGGATCCCCACCCATCAGGGTCCAGGATCCCCACCCATCAGGGTCCAGGATCCCACCCATCAGGGTCCAGGATCCCCACCCATCAGGGTCCAGGATCCCCACCCATCAGGTCCAGGATCCCCACCCATCAGGGTCCAGGATCCCCACCCATCATGGTCCAGGATCCCCACCCATCAGGGTCCAGGATCCCCACCCATCAGGGTCCAGGTTCCACCCATCAGGGTCCAGGATCCCCACCCATCAGGGTCCAAGATCCCCACCCATCAGGGTCCAGGATCCCCACCCATCAGGGTCCAAGATCCCCACCCATCAGGGTCCAGGATCCCCACCCATCAGGGTCCAGGATCCCCACCCATCAGGGTCCAGGATCCCCACCCATCAGGGTCCAAGATCCCCACCCATCAGGGTCCAGGATCCCCACCCACCAGGGTCCAGGATCCCCACCCCTCAGGGTCCAGGATGCCCGCCCATCAGGATCCAGGATCCCCATCCATCAGGGTCCAGGATCCCCACCCATCAGGGTCCAGGATCCCCACCCACCAGGGTCCAGGATCCCCACCCCTCAGCGTCCAGGATCCCCACCCATCAGGGTCCAGGATCCCCACCCATCAGGGTCCAGGATCCCCACCCATCAGGGTCCAGGATCCCCACCCATCAGGGTCCAAGATCCCCACCCATCAGGGTCCAGGATCCCCACCCACCAGGGTCCAGGATCCCCACCCCTCAGGGTCCAGGATGCCCGCCCATCAGGATCCAGGATCCCCATCCATCAGGGTCCAGGATCCCCACCCATCAGGGTCCAGGATCCCCTCCCATCAGGGTCCAGGATCCCCACCCATCAGGGTCCAGGATCCCCACCCATCAGGGTCCAGGATCCCCACCCATCAGGGTCCAGGATCCCCACCCATCAGGGTCCAGGATTCTCACCCATCAGGGTCCAGGATCCCCACCCATCAGGGTCCAGGATCCCCACCCATCAGGGTCCAGGATCCCCACCCATCAGGGTCCAGGATCCCCACCCATCAGGTCCAGGATCCCCACCCATCAGGGTCCAGGATCCCCACCCATCAGGGTCCAAGATCCCCACCCATCAGGGTCCAGGATCCCCACCCATCAGGGTCCAAGATCCCCACCCATCAGGGTCCAGGATCCCCACCAATCAGGGTCCAGGATCCCCACCCATCAGGGTCCAGGATCCCCACCCATCAGGGTCCAGGATCCCCACCCATCAGGGTCCAGGATCCCCACCCATCAGGGTCCAGGATCCCCACCCATCAGGGTCCAGGATCCCCACCCATCAGGGTCCAGGATCCCCACCCATCATGGTCCAGGATCCCCACCCATCAGGGTCCAGGATCCCCACCCATCAGGGTCCAGGTTCCACCCATCAGGGTCCAGGATCCCCACCCATCAGGGTCCAAGATCCCCACCCATCAGGGTCCAGGATCCCCACCCATCAGGGTCCAAGATCCCCACCCATCAGGGTCCAGGATCCCCACCCATCAGGGTCCAGGATCCCCACCCATCAGGGTCCAGGATCCCCACCCATCAGGGTCCAAGATCCCCACCCCATCAGGGTCCAGGATCCCCACCCACCAGGGTCCAGGATCCCCACCCTCAGGGTCCAGGATGCCCGCCCATCAGGATCCAGGATCCCCATCCATCAGGGTCCAGGATCCCCACCCATCAGGGTCCAGGATCCCCACCCACCAGGGTCCAGGATCCCCACCCCTCAGCGTCCAGGATCCCCACCCATCAGGGTCCAGGATCCCCACCCATCAGGGTCCAGGATCCCCACCCATCAGGGTCCAGGATCCCCACCCATCAGGGTCCAAGATCCCCACCCATCAGGGTCCAGGATCCCCACCCACCAGGGTCCAGGATCCCCACCCCTCAGGGTCCAGGATGCCCGCCCATCAGGATCCAGGATCCCCATCCATCAGGGTCCAGGATCCCCACCCATCAGGGTCCAGGATCCCCACCCACCAGGGTCCAGGATCCCCACCCCTCAGCGTCCAGGATCCCCACCCATCAGGGTCCAGGATCCCCACCCATCAGGGTCCAGGATCCCCACCCATCAGGGTCCAGGATCCCCACCCATCAGGGTCCAAGATACCCACCCATCAGGGTCCAGGATGTCCATGCTACCTGCTTCTGCCTCGTCTTTCAGTATCATTATTCCACAAAACTGTTTCCGAAATATATATATATATATATATATATATATATATATATATATATATATAATATATATATATATATATATATATATATATATATATATATATATAAATATATAGGAAGTTTTCATTAGCCTCTTAGAGTAACCCGAAACATACATTTTTATTATTGTAATGACTATACACCGAGAGGTGTATATCTCGGTGTATATTCACAGATACGTGTGTATATTGGAGTGTATATCCCTGATGCTTTCATCCCAGGGGATAAATATTGTATTTTCCAGTAATACCAACCTGCAGGATGTTTATTATTATTATTAGTAGTAGTAGTAGTAGCAATAGTATTACTACTACTACTACTACTACTACTACTGTCTACTTCCATACAGATAGGCAGGGGGTAGTAGAAGTAGCAATAATAGTAACAACAATCGTAGTAATAGCAGTAGTAATAGCAATAGTAGAGTAATAATAGTACATAGAAACTGTACTTTCACTTTTATAAATGAAAAATATTAACACGATCACAGAGTTACAAATATTAACACGATCACAGAGTTACAAATATTAACACGATCACAGAGTTACAAATATTAACACGATCACAGAGTACAAATATTAACACGATCACAGAGTTACAAATATTAACACGATCACAGAGTTACAAATATTAACACGATCACAGAGTTACAAATATTAACACGATCACAGAGTTACAAATATTAACACGATCACAGAGTTACAAATATTAACACGATCACAGAGTTACAAATATTAACACGATCACAGAGTTACAAATATTAACACGATCACAGAGTTACAAATATTAACACGATCACAGAGTTACAAATATTAACACGATCACAGAGTTACAAATATTAACACGATCACAGAGTTACAAATATTAACACGATCACAGAGTTACAAATATTAACACGATCACAGAGTTACAAATATTAACACGATCACAGAGTTACAAATATTAACACGATCACAGAGTTACAAATATTAACACGATCACAGAGTTACAAATATTAACACGATCACAGAGTTACAAATATTAACACGATCACAGAGTTACAAATATTAACACGATCACAGAGTTACAAATATTAACACGACCACAGAGTTACAAATATTAACACGATCACAGAGTTACAAATATTAACACGATCACAGAGTTACAAATATTAACACGATCACAGAGTTACAAATATTAACACGACCACAGAGTTACAAATATTAACACGATCACAGAGTTACAAATATTAACACGATCACAGAGTTACAAATATTAACACGATCACAGAGTTACAAATATTAACATAACCACAGAGTTATAAAGAGCGTCACCTCAGATGTGACACATTCAGAGTAGCATCATAC